GAAAATAATACTTGTAAAAGAGAAAGGGGTTTGTGCCTGGTGCTGTCAATACTGTGAAGGATGGGGTGATTATAAAGCAAATTAACAATACTTTTAAATGTGCATTCACTTATCTTTCCAATTAAATCCTTGTTAAACAACTGCACAGACAGTAATGGTGCTTCTGCAAAGCACTGATCAAGACAGTTTTATTGTAATTTTTACTCTGTAACAATTAATCAAGTAGGCATTTTCTTTATTATTAAATTATTTAGTTAATAAATATTCGCAATCATTTCACGTATTTGTGGTTTAAATTTTACTTTTAATTTTTCTTAAACTGAATTATATTTCAGTATATTCTTCTAGAAGAAACAACAGAAATATTTTAATTCTTTTTGCCAAAATGGTTTTTGTTAACTCAAGGTAATGTCAGGGCAAGATTAAATTCACCTTTTTCTCCAACGTAGTTACCGATTTGGCTATCTTTTGCTGTCCTTTTCCATGTTCCATAAGAAACGTACCTCTCTGCAATAACATAACATTTAGCCTCTGTAAAAATTCATATTTCTCCCCTCCGCCTTTGGTACATAAGTATAGTAACCAAGCCATAAAAACACAGCAATTGACCTTTGGACAGTACGTGGTGTTTCGCGGTTAACGCACAAGGTAATCCAAATGAAATAACTGGATGCAAAGGTCATCTGTACAGCAAATACCAAACATTTTGCAAACAAAGCATTGGATATAAAGACAATTAGGAACTCTCTTGTATTATGTATGAACCAACACTTACTGAATGAACCAGTAAGTATTGAAATTTGTATTTCTGTGGTTAGTTTCCCTGAACATATATGCATTAGGATAGAATCCTAGTGTTTCAGCAATGTGTTATGAACCCTTTATAGCTCCATTTTTTTCAGTTAATTTAGTACTCATGAAAATTGCTTGTTTGACAGTCGGAGAAATTGAGTGCCTTTCCAGCTACCCAGCAGATTAGCACAGGAGGCATAAAGAAGTAAGCTTCTACCTCCTCACCCAGGTATCTCTGCTCTTTAAGCACAGAAGGCAATGCAGGATTGCTGGGACAGGCGTGCGCAAGCAGGACAGGGAACCCCTAGGGTTTAGCACAAAAAAAGTCTTACCCCGTTATATCACAGTGTGCATCAACACGATGGGTTTGACCAGAGCAGGGAGCGCACCGCAAATTCACACTCTTACTTACAAACTAACATCCTTGTGGATGTGGAGCCCTCCCTCTTTTGCAGTTTTTCTTTCTCAGGCACTTTTTGCCTCACTGGTAGCATTTTTGATGAGGTCAGAAGCTTGCTTTTGAGCAGCATCTCCCAGCTGTGCCCACTTTCATATAGTGGTGCCTTAATGGCCCTGAGCAGCCCCACCTGGGGCTCCCCCACCCCTGCCCATGGGCTCGGGGCCCATGGCAACCCCACCCTGGGGCTTTGGGCCAAAACAATTGATCTTTTTAATTGCATCCTTATATACTGGAACTGCCAGCACACTTTACGTGGCTTAATAGACCCATTTGTAGAACCTTATCCCTTTTTCTACAGGTGTGAATTAAAAGGATATCCTTATAAATATCTGTAAAGGCTTTAACTTACTGGACCTTGCTTAAAATCAGCAAAAGTCCTCCAGATTTTTCATAAAATCCCTAAACAATTGCCAAGTACCAACAATTTTTTTTTTTTTTTTTAAAATTGCTACTGTTAGACTTAACAATAATACAGAAAGCATAAGAGGAATGGACATCTCTGCCTAATGTCTCTGGCTATTATAGAAACCTTTGCCATAGGTTAACAGCCAGAAATATCGAATGACTGGTAGCTTAGTTTCTAAAACCAAAATTCTTTTAGTGCTTGTAGACTAAGAAAAGCAGGAATTTCCTGATGTCAGTATTGGTCCAAACTGCTTCTACTGCCTTGATTCAGTGATCTGAAAAATGATGACTTAGAGTTCCGAAAGTGCTGAGAAATGTTATAGCCTGGTCCTCTTATGATCAACTGATCTTTTCAGCTCTTAATGGGAAAATAAATCATAGATAAAAGATAATCCTGTTGCACAGAAGCAAAAAAGGTGTGATATCAATAGACTTTTATAGAAAAAGAGAACTCTGTGAAAGGGATAAAGTAAATAAGGTAGTTTGTTTTGCTGATGCTCATGTTGGAAAGGTCAAAGCCCTCTTCAGGAGCTGCCTACCTCAAGAAATGAGAAGGAAACACAAAGCATATTCAGAGAATTTAAAAAGATACAAGGCATGTTTTTTTATGGTAAACCCATCTTCAGCCCAAAATATCTAGAATTTCAAGGGTCTTTTTAGATTTTTACCGTTCTTATTTCTTGTTTAATGATGAAGCTGTCAACTGTTAGTTTGTTTTCCTTTCATATTCACTAGTTCTCTCTCACTTAATTTTTGATGCTACAGATGACATTAACAGTATAGGAAAAGGAGCCAAATAAAGCTTTGCTATATTCTAATTAATGATTATTCTAATAAAAAATACTTTGATATGGCAGCCAGCCTAGAGTTTCTTCTATGATCTTTAATTTTCAATGTGATACATATTATTTATATCCTATAAATGTAGGTGTAACACAATGGCAAAGCAAGCAGGAAGAAAGAGCCCATTAAGTATTTGGCCTGTATAAGAACTGATTGCACAGTCAATCTCTGCAGTGTAAATAGGCTTTTTCAGAACATTTGTTTGCATTTACAATTAAATTAAACTTTAACTATAATAAAAAAAAAAAATCTCTATGGGAGAATCATCTATGTAAATGCTGCTTTCCCGCTGTTAACTACAGAACGATGAAGGTACAAGGATTGAACTTAGGAGGTCACAATATTTACCGAGTGAAAAAGTGGTGCATGGCAAGTGCATTATTAAATATCAACCCACTGCAGAGCTTTAGAGGACTGGTAAATAAGCAGGTTGGGAGCACATACTGGTTTTCCAAGTAACTTTTGTGACTTCATGAAACAGTTTGAAACTGCTGCTGTCTTCAGCATCTAAATGACATTGGTTGGAGACGCTATTGCCCTCCCAAGCACGCATTAAGTCCTGTTCTCCCCGTCTCCCCAGGGTGTTTTTTGCAGGTACGCTGTGCCTCAGTGGGCCGTTTCCTGCCTGCAGCTCCCATTGGCCGCTCAATAGGCAGATTTCTTGCACGTGTCCTAAGTAGCCAGTGTCAGAGTGGCTTTAATGTACCATTAACTTCACCTTTATATATTCATTTTTCACAGCGGTATAAATCAGAAGAAAAAGGTGCCTGGAACCTCTGTGCTGCAAAAAGCCAGATTAGACTTCTGGCTAGCTTTACGGTATCAACCCATCTGTTTTAGGTGAAAACTTGAGCAGTAATGTTAACCTCAAGTACGTTAACCTTTGAATGCCACAACACATGATAGACAGGACCATTATTTTTATGGCGCATTTTCTCCTGAGCAAAGATCCTAGGCAGTGAAGGAGGATAGAAAATCCTGGTTTTGCCCCTCTGTCTCCAAACAAAATACGGTGTACGGTCATTTGAAAGCCAAGGCAGACTACGTTATCGACACACAAATACCCAACAACTATAAATCCAAGGGAACCCAAGTAATGAGTCAAAACCATGAGCCTGATGATTTATTCAGTCTCACTGAATTTACTGGCATAAATACTGATTCCTCATAAAGCAGAGTTCACCCTCCAGTTTCAGCTGAAGACACGACTGATCTGGAGCAACTGAGGAGGTGGCAAACATCTACTGCTCCCCTGAAACCTTCCCTAGAGATGTAAATGGAGGCTTGAAGGTGGGAATATTTTTACGTCTCCCATATCTCTCAATTTCATAAGAACTTTTGAGTCAAAAGTCTTAGTTTATGTATAGTACAAAACTAATTGAGGAAGTTGTTCTCCAACAGCTATCATCTCCAAGAAACCACGTACAACACACAATATTTAGCAGTTCTGGTAATAGTCTCCAGGCAACTTTAAAAGAGTTAATAAAAAGTGGAGAAAATGTTGCAGCAGCTTCACATTTATAATTGATTTATTCAAAAGTGTATAAAGTCTTTAATGCAATTTAAGATTTGGGATTTTTCCTAATTTCTGAGAAACTTAATTTTATTTTTTCATTACGTAGTATCAGGAGGTTCACTGTCATTGATGATATTCGCTAAGCTATTAAGTGTGGAGGTATTTAGTCTTTACCAAGAATAGTAAACTGTTTGGAGAGGTGAATATATTTGTCATGTATCCTGATTAACTACCAATATCAGCTTCCACACCCGTAATGGTATTGATCAATGTTAGATTCATTTAGGTCACATCTGTGAAAAATGTTCTTTTGTATTTGTAGAAATATGTTTATTATACGTGGAATCTGTGGAAATATGTTCAGTAAATATGTACAGATTGATTCTAATTCTGGTTCTCAAGTCTCCAAAATATTCATCTTTCCTCTTCTCATTTCCTGGGGTCAAATCTTTGCCTTTTCAAAATCAGTGGTAAATCTTCCACTGACCTTGACAGAGCCAGTACTCTACTTTTAGTATTTCTTTTTCAGTTCTTTTCAGCACCTTTTTCTCTTTTGCTGGTTTCCTTTGGATCCCTGTTCTACTTTTGGTTTTGTTTAACTTTCAACATCCAAACAATCTGCTATTTTTCCTTTTAATCTTTTTTTTTCCCTCACTTTGATTCTTAGGTTTCTACATATGCTTTGGTTTTTGCCACCTTATTTCATGTACCCATTTCCTCCTTTTTTCTTTTTTTTTTTCTTGGGTTTTTTGTTTGTTTCTCATCTCCTGTTTAACTACTATTTTCCTCTGCTTACTCTGCTGTTTTTCCTCTCTCCTAGCTGACATTTCCCTCTGTACAATATCTTTCTACCTTCCCTTTCCTCTCTTTTCCAAAACACAGCTCATCATTCTATGCCACTAATGTATAGCAGATTCTGAAATACTGTCATCTGAGACAGTTAAGTACTAAACAAAACATTACCAGGGTGGAGGAATCACTTACCCTGATTGACAACAAATCGTAACTTCTGTATTGTTGCCAGATTGCCGCTAACTCTGTATATTCCATCAACATCTAGACCTGAAAGAGAAACACATATTTCATTTTAGATCATATAAGTATTTTTCTTTGTACGTCTGTCAGGAAGCCAGAAGTGCCCTAACAAGTATGAAGAAGAGCAGTGTCGTGAACGACTGAGAAATAATCCACCTGACAACAACTGAAGTGCCTCCTGCCTGATTAAAACAACAATGAAAAATAAAAGTGGTAGATTAACTTAAGTGAATACAAAACACCTAACTATAATTATCTTGTAATTCTGTCAGCAGAATACGGTTCTGCAAGGGTATTTGAGTGTGACAAGAAAGAAAGAGTGAATTAGCTCTTGTGCTTATAGAGAAGGGCTGTTTGGGATACGCACGGTGCTATGTAAGCCTTGCTTAAATGCGGGGTATTTATATTAATAGTACAAGGGAAACTTCTCAGTCTGGGGCCTGGGTTTTTCAGACGTGAATTTCTGAGGCTGTGACCTTTCTGAAAATAAAGCGGTGAGATGCCCACTCTGAAATCATGACGTGCATGAGACTACACGTTTCTCTACTATATTCTTCATAGCAGATCAGACAAGTTTGAAAATGAAATTAAATATCCCAAATAGCATGTGCCCTGGAGTACATTTCTTCATTAATATAGGCCATTCTTTTCAAGGACAACCTGACAGTCTTGTTTCTCCCTGCATATCTACTTAAGGTTTATCTTCTAGGTGAAACTAGATGTCATACTCCCTTTTGTGACATATTATCTCCTACAGCAAGCTCTGCTGATATGACTGTTTAAAATAGCACTTCCAGCCCCGGTTGCATAGCTGTAGCATTTCAAAGCACATGGGAACTGCTCTCCTTTCCCGGGAGAATTAGCTATTGTGCAACAACGACCAAATCTGCATGCTTAAAAATTGAAAACACTAAACTATACATTGTCATTTCACGTTTAAAACTTGCAAGTACATAAGAAGCTAAGAGAATCTACACAAAACTTGAAGGCTACTCATCACCTGGAACACAAGTTTTAATTAGCTTTTGGCAAGCAATTTCAGAGAAAGCCTTTCTCTTGGAAAACACTAATTGGTCAAAACCAAAAATTTGTGGGAAATATTTCCTGACAATGTATCTATGCGGAATTTTTTTTCTGATTCAGGGTGGGGAAAAAGCAAAAACTGAAACTATAGGAAAGAGCAAAAACAAGTTCAAAAGCCCAGAAGCCCAGTTGTAATAACACTTAAATAGGAAGGAGCTGAGGTTCAAGTCCTTATTTCAAAGATACTTGCATCATGCCTTGGCAGATGAGTGCCATAGCCAGTGCACTCACCTGCTTGGAGGTATTCCTCACCAATCTTGAAACATTTTAAAAGATTTACTTTTCCTTTTGATGCAGAATGAAACCAAATAAAGTCTTTTGTTTGTTTGGATGTTTGTTTTATCTCTCTATAAAATACAGTTCTTATTTTACTGTCTGTCCTGCTAGGAACATCCTGATTTGGTTTACATTAAATAGTCTATTTTAAAAATGAATAATAATTCCGCATTATACACTGGTTATCTGTGTCTTTTATTAGACAATTTTCTACCCTGCACCTGTGGGTGTCCTGCAACATAATACCGAGAGTGATGATTCATTTCAGGAAGATCCCCTTTGGTTACAGGGGAATAAAGAAGTAGTTTATTTAAGAGAAATCAAAAAGGATTTGGTAATCAAGAACACTTGGAAGTTATCCATCTACTGGATATATAACATATGAGCAAATGGAAATTACTAAAATGTTTAAGTAATGCAATTCTACCCTAAATCTGAAGAGTCTCATTCTGTTTTAGTAAGGGAAGAGTGAGAGAGCAAGAGTAATTCCCAGCATAGGAATGTGGGACTCTTGTGGTAAGGGATTAAGAATTGCATCATGTAAATTGAAGTCTAAACCAGAAAGTAAAGAGGAAAAATAAAACAAACAAACAAACAAACAAGCCCCCAAACAGAATGTTAACTTTTGTTTGGATCTAACTCAATTCAGTTCTTAACCTTTTGGGATATATGGAAGTGAAAGCAATACATGTCACTTTGGGTGAAATAGCTATGTCTCACATTAATAGCATCAATTTGGAACCTGCATAAATTATCCAGATCAAGTGAAAATGACAAACTGTGTTGTAAATTGGTGGATATTACATCTTGCAAAATGACCTGGAGTATACAAGTGCATTATTATTGTTATAAATTTACTTTGGTCCAGAAATGAGGTCTGATTAGCATTTCATTTGGACACTATACAATATGGCAGAGAGAAAAAAAAATAAAAAAGAAAAAAATCCAAGAATATCAAGCCAATTATAGTGTTCACGTGCCATCAACTTTCTGCTCCAAGAACTTTGAAAGTTAAGCCAAACCAAACCAATGCAAATTGGTGGATTTGGACATCCTTTTCATGACCACATTATCTTAGCTGGATTGTTAACAACTTATTTTGGAAATCCAATTAGGCGCAAAAGAAAGAGAGAGAAAGAGAGAAATACGTCTTTATAGTTCTAATATCCTGATTCTATGAACAATTTTCAAAGCAAATTCACTTTTAAGAGCACCTCTATCAAGAATAAAAACATCACTGCACTGCTGTCAGTGTTTCTTCACGGCAGGCTGTAAATACTTAGGGAACAAGATGAAACAAAAGCCTTGCAGAGTTTCCTATCTGGTGCTGGCATTTAAGTATAGTGGTAAAGAACGTTTCAGAAAAAATGTTCATTGTAATAAAGTCCAACTGTTGTTCACTATAGGGTGACCTTCTTGTGTTTTGGAGTGCGGTTTATCAAGGAAGAATCACTGGATTTTGCCTTAGAGGAGAACAAGTATTTTATTTGCTCTATATGCCAATCTCCAACTCTGTTTCTGTTTGTTTTAACGAGGAACCTGAGAACAGGATGGACCCACAATTAGAACTGATAGCCAAAAGCATGATAATGACTTCAGTATTTCCACCCTAAATTTTGTAGTGGTATAAGAAATGTAGGAAAAGGACTTACTAAAGAATACATCAGTTTAGCTGCCAAACTATAGGCACATTTTAATTATTTTCATTTTAAAAATTATACAGGTACTCCTGATGAGAAAGTTAAAAGGCAACTGAACTCAGGCTTGGTTGAGGTTCATGAACAATAATGAACGTTATATTCACTCTGCATAACTGCACAGAAGATGTTAGAAGAACACTTATTTAAGAACATTTCTTGCACTCCTGCTTCTAGCCAAAATGGAGATAACCATGAATGCAGGTCAGCGTCAGCTCCAGTAGCAGTTTGAGCTGGAACCAGATATTGCAGAGAAACATTAAAAACACAGGAAAAAATTAGAGCTTAGGTGATATATTTATCCAAACATACGTTTTAAAATATTAGACTTGGATATTCGTTGAGGTAGTCCTGATGCTTTATGAACTGCCTTGAATGAAATGTTCTTATTAATTCTTTTCTGTCTCCCAAATCACATTGCATTCTGCCTAAGTTTAATCTATATTTGACAATATCTGCAAACTGAATATAAAAGGAAATTATCTATATGCAGGGGAAGGGGGGTGGTGGTATACAGAAATTTTTCTCTCTGTTTTTTAACAAGATTTAAAATTTGAAACATACCATTTTAAATGGTACTAGGTAACTTCCTGCATAGAAACCCATGAAACTTTCACAATTAATGTATCCTGAAATAGGTGTGGTCCCCAGGCCTGGTAGGAGTTTTGTAAAAGAAACCATCGTGCTGGATTCAACAACAAAGTGAAGTACAAACTTGAAGAAAGGCATTCTTTAGTTAGTCCTTTCATTTAAAATCAGTTATGTTCAGGGCAAAAATATTGTATTTCAAAGGAGCCTATTATGCCTTCCCATAAACAGAAAGATCATACGTTTTAAAACTAAAGTATCATTATGTAATCAAGCTGTTGTATTATAAACTATTTTGTGGGCTCAGATGCCCAGGGCTATCTTTACAAATATTTAAGAGGTCATTATCAGGGTATGTTCTCCCTAAAACTATAATTCTTTCCTCCTGTTTTCATATGCATCTTACCATAAATATCTGATTTATAAACAATTTTTTTAAAGTTTACTAAGGGCACAAAAGTGAGGCATGAAGTCACTTAAAGCAACAGAAATGCATGAATGTAGTAAATACACCAATGTCAAGATAATGTGTCTGATGAGAAAAACACCACAAAACAATGTGCAACAAAAATAAAGTTTCGCAAAACGATCGATATTTGTATGCCAGTAGAACGAAAATCATGAAGAGTAACAAAGAATGAATCTGACACATTAAAATTCGACATTAAAAGTACTGTATCTGGATAGGGTTACAAAAGGTCCCCAGAGTTTTAGGTGAATGTGGGAGCAAAAGAAAAGTTTTTGTCTGACACCACGGAAATCAGAGATGAAAATGATGAGAACAACGAAACAAATTTGAGTTACACCACAGAGAGAAAAAAACAGAGGCACTACCAGCAAACAAGGGACATATGGATATAAAAATGTGTGGTGCAGAGGTGGTGTGAGCTAGAGATACTTGGACCAGCAAACTTGGTACGCAGCTTGATCAGCTCGAGTTGAAACGAGCGCCAGCTCATTTTGAACGTAAGACTATCTGCACTCAGCATGGTTTTCAGTATTGCTGACATCTCTATCCTGCTTTTTGGTGTGGCGTTGGGTGGGGTTAGGCATGCCCTAAAGCTCCTGAAGCGGGGCCGGAGGCTGAGACCGGGATTTGCTCTGCTCTGCTGGAAAACTTCTCTTTTGATCATCAGAACTACCTACTTCTTGTACTCCTCCCATCAAAAGATCACATTCGTGAGGCTGAAAACAACATCCCAGCTAACATCTGATGTAAAAAGAGGTCCCATCCCTAGTCCAGAGAAGTTACTCATCTATTGTGGAAGTGGGTGCCATACAAATGTCACGTTAGATAGTGCTACCAGACAGACAAGGATAAACCTACCTAGGGGACCAAACAGTGGGTGATATTGGAAGCCAATCTGAAGAACAAAGAGATAA